GTTAATGTGAGGTAGTACAAACAAAAATAATACAGTGGCCCACTGATTTCGTGTTTAAATTTTCCTTTCCAAGTGTCTGCCGAATAACGAAATTGCCAAAGGCGAAACCTTTTTCCCCCCAAAAGAAAAAATGGAAAAAAAATTAATCCGTTCCAGACACCCAAAAATATTAAAATAATTTTTTTTTTTTTTTTTTAAAATTTAAATAAAGATTCTGAAAAAATGAAAATCAATACTACTATAAAAAATAAGGGAACATTACACTTACCTTTACTGAAGACTTCTGGGTGGGGGAAGACAGGGGGAAAGGGATAGGAAAAAGGTGACACTATTGTTTGGAAGGAGAATTTTTCCCCCTTTTTGGATTTCGGCCCCCAATCCTTACGGGGTTACTTCCCCTTCTTTGTTTTTTAAAGACACTGGGAACAACTTGGAGCAGGGGACCCCTGTCCACAAAATTCTGTCCAAGGCTCTGTTTCTGGCGTTTTTTTAAGATTTTCTGAAAGGGGACACAACTGTCATTGTAAAATGTTCCCAAATAGGGCCTCAAAGCTTTGTCGGGGTGAATTTCTCCATAAATTTTTTGCATTTCAGTCTACTTTTCAAAATGTCCATAATCTTTGAAGAAGGCCCCCTTTCCTCCCCTTCTCTTCCCCCTCTCTAGCAATTTCCTGAGCTGTGATCTCTTCTGTTGCAGATAAAGCTCTTGGCCTTCAGGGTTTGCCTTTTCCCTGTGGTCACCACCAAATCTTCCAATTCTACCACCACCTCCAACCCCAGGGGCTCCCCAGCCCCATAATTCCACAATGGCATAGGCTCCTTAGGGGCAGCCCCCAAAACCCCCCAAAATCCCCTCTTGTACCATTCTGGCCACAATTTTTCCAAACAGAATTCAAAGTTCTGCAATCACTCCTTTCCCCGCCTTACCTATAGGTTTAGCAAGTGGGGGATATTGAAGTGATCTTTTCCGAACTCCTTTTGGGTCAATTCAGTGTCAGAGGGGACTTTAAAGCACTTTTGAAACTGCTTTGGTGTACAGTTTTTTGAAGTTTGAAATGACCTGTGGTCCATGGGCTGGATGAGAGGTTTTTGTATTAGGGGGCAAGGCTTCACTGTGATAAAACTAAACTCCTCCACTATTTGCTCTTCCAAGTCTGGGGGGATGAGCAGGAGCATTGTCCATTATCAGGGGGGCACTTGAGTGGCATTTTATTTTCCAGGAGGTGTTTCTTCCACTGGGGCAAAACATTTCATTAAACCAGTCAGGAAAATTCCCCTTGTGACCATGCCTTACTGTTTTCCTTCCACATCACACACAAATTACTTTTGGTGACACTGTTTTCTTGAAAACACTGGGGTTTTCAGAATGATAAAACCAGTAAAGGCTTTACTTTGCAATCCCCACTAGCATTACTACAAAAAATGAGAGTAAGCCTATCCTTCATAGCTTGTGTCCCGGGAGTGCCGTTTCCCCCTTTTGATGTAGGTCCTCTTTGGCATTTTCTTCCAAAAGAGGCCTGTTCATCACAATTAAACACTTGTTGGGGTTTGAATTCTCCAGTGTCTGCGCACTCCTTAAACTCCTGTACAAACTTCTCAGCTGCTTTTTTGTCAGAACTGGCAGCCTCACCATGCCTTATCACACTGTGAATGCCACTACGCTCTTAAATCTCTCAAACCAACCTTTGCTGGCCTTAAAATCACAAGCATCACCTCTCGTTGCAGGCATTTTCTTTACGAGATCATCATGCAACTGCCTTGCCTTTTCACATATTATTGACTGCATAATACTATCTCTTGCTAAATGTTTTTGGGCAATCTACACCAACAATAACCTTTCCACTTCTTCGAGGATTTGCGCTCTCTTTTTTGTCGACATATCTACCCCTTTTGTGACAACAGCACACTTTATTTCCTTTCCCTTCGCCATGTTCGAAGTGATGGTTGAATGGGGGTTTTCCATACATCCTGGCAAGTTCTGTAACACACACTCCGCTCTCATATTTTGCAAATTTGTATTTCCTTTTTGAATTCCCACCGTGGTTCCTCGCTTCCTTTACTAAAGGGCTTGCACTAGTTTCCTTGGCCCATGGTGACTTATTTAGCAGTTGCAAACACAAAAAACAATGGTTTTTTTGTTTTATGTAATGTATTGTGTCACGGCGGAAAGAAATGGCACAGAGTGTGAATGGTGTGGAAACGGTTTTTGTGTGCACGATGACGGGCGTTGCTACCAACGGTCGCAAAATAAAGATCCAATCACGAACCGCAGGTAAATTTTCCAAAAAAAAAACTTCCCGAAAGTGGATTTCAGAAAGTCGATGCCGCGAAACCGGGGGGCCCACTGAAAGTATTACAATTGTAAATTTGTAATGGGGAATTTTTTGTCTTGGCATGTACACAGTTTTATTAAAGCTCCTATAGGGAAAATTCGGGGAAAATTTTGGGACTAACTTAGATTTTTTGGCTATATCTATTTTGGACTTTTATTTTTACGTCATTTGGTGAGTGTAAGTGAGATTAGGGAGAATTTTCAGATAAAAAAAGTAAGTCTATTTTTTTTTGGAGGGTTTTATGATAGAAAATACACCGCAAAGTTGTTTTTTTTACCCAGAGCACGGTCGCCGATTTTCTCATATGCACGATGCTGCAGGATTTTTTTTTTTATAAAATGCACACTTACCACACAGATTATTCTCTCTATTAGGCCCAAATTCCCCGGTCACGTTTCTGAGTGAGTTGGCCATACGCTGACAGTGGCTTGAAAGCCACCTTACTTTTATGGATAATATACAGTGTATGTGCTTTACACAATGAGAATTTCTTTTATTTTTTGGGAACCATGGCAGGGCTAAAAGTGAAAAAGAAATTGGAAGAAAAAGAAATTGGAAAATGACACTTTGCAGCAAGTAGTGGCAGGTTGGTAAGGCGGCCCTGGGAAATTTGAAAGTATGCTACTCAAAAATTAGTGCGGATTATTGATGGAACTGGATAACTGATCGCCAGATTTGTGAGGGCTGACCGTACAGGCTAAGATGTTAGGTACTGATTATTCTGTGCTAGGTTTACTACTGCTATTACCTTTATCGTATGATGATCAGTTAATGTTAGACTGTCTGGAGGTGCATCTTGGAGAAATTAATAGGATACTCTTGCCCTTTTTTTAACTACTCATATTACTGTTTACCAGGCAGCCTCTTCAGCTTTCTTCATGTGCTGCTTTTTTTTTTTTATAAAATATTATTGTCTCATTTCTTAATTTTTTTTATTTTCTATTTTTCTTTTTCCCTTTTCCATTTTTTCAATTTTACAGTATATGCTTGGTGAAGCCTCCTTTTGTTCTTTCCAATGTTTTGTTTTTCAATGCAAGTTAGAATTGTTTTCACTTGTACAGGCAAACAATTGAGGAAAGGTTTTGAAAGCTTAATAGATGTTTAAAAGTAATAACAGCTTATGGTATCTGAAATGTTAGGAGGGAGCAAGGTATCAAAGATTAGTTGATTGATTGGTATCAAAATGAATAAGTTATAGAATATGCTTGCTTCCGTAACATTTTTTTTTTTTCTAAAGTAGAGATAGTATATCTATTATTGGTATTAATGTACAATATGTTATTTCTTGTTAGGTTTAATCAGTGTAGAATACATGTAGATGCATGTGGTTCAGTATTAACCCTTTTACTGTCAGTCTTGTAATATTACGGGTTGCAAGCCAGTGTCGGTCCCGTAATAGTACGCCAAAATTCTAGCAGCTTCCAGTCTTGCCGGAGAAAGCTGGTAGGCCTACACATGAGAGAATAGGTCTGAGTGGTTAGTGTGTGTAGTATAAAAAGAATCCTGTAGCATGCAGTGCATAATGAGAAAAAACTCTGATTGTTTTTCTTTTAAAATAGTGACTTTGCAGTATATTTTCATATAGTATTTATGGTTGTATTCTCATTTTCTTGGTCTCACTTGATAGAATGAAAGATATATTACGGAACAAGAGATGGATTTTTGAATGGTTTACAGACTAAAAGTGGAAAGGTTAAATTTTTGCCAATGTTTAGGAGTAAAAAAAATCACGTCACGCCTCCAATACACTCAACTGGTGGGGCTAATAGGCTTTCACAAATTCGCTGATTCTATTTGTACCATTTTTACAATAATGCATAACAAATCTATTTTTTGTGTGAATAAAAATTAAAAATGGAAAGCAAGTGTAATATAAAAGGGGCCTGAGATGTGACTGATGAACAGATAAAATGTTATTTTAGCTCTAGGAATGTTTGCATTGTTAATTCTGGACCCTATTTTGAAATTGGCCACATTATGAATTTCTGATCACTTTATTGGGTAGTTGAAATCAGTAAATGGGCAGTTTCTTGTACTCAGTCAATAGAATAAAAGGAGTTCTAGTGAAATAGCTATGAGTTTGGTCGACTGGAAAAGTGGAATTAGCCGAAAATAGGGCTCAAAGTGGGCAAAATTGCTGATGCGTAAACATCACTGAGACCTCTAACTTCGTGAGTGTAATTCCTTAAGTTTATCGTCAAATTTCATACTTTTGGTGTCATTACCATCGGGAAAAGATTCTCTGTCATTTTGTAAGAAAAACAATTTTTTTTTTTTTTTTTTAATCAACACCGAGTGCAAATTTGTGAACAGGGGTCTTGACAGTGAAAGGGTTAATACAGTACAACACCTGGTTCAGGATTAATAAAGTACAACACTTAGTGATAGATATTTAAACTGCTTTGGAATATGGAAGAGAGAGTTACTGTAATGTTAAGAGAACAAAAAGATACAACACTGAGTGGAATGCACAAATAACCTGCACATAGAAGAGAGGAGCTTATGATGTTTCTGTCTGTAACTTTGTAAATGGTCCAAGTTGAACCGAAATGTCGTCATAAGCTCCCCTCTTCTATGTGTTGGTTATTTGTGCACAGTATTGTTAATTTTATGTCACTTGCAGCTATATTGTATTATGTTTTTAATTTAGTCTATATTTAATGCTTTCAGGAAGTGGGCATTCCTATAGATATGGTAGCAGGAGTGAGTATTGGTGCATTTATTGGTGCACTTTATTGCTTGGAGAAGGATATTACACGTCTCACGCAGAAGGCTCGTGAATGGAGTATGGTAAGTGTGGCAGTATTTGACCAACTGTGTCACCCACATAGTTCTAGGTTATTGATGCTAGTTTCACTCAGAGATCCAAGTCTGAATCACTACACCCTTAATATGCTGTTTAAACCCTTTGACTGTTTTCTGTCATATATATATGTCTTAACGAGCCACCGTGTTTGACGTATACAGTGGACCCCCCCCGGTTTACGATCACCTCCCAATGTGACCAATTATGTAAGTGTATTTATGTAGGTGCGTTTGTACGTGTATGTTTGGGGGTCTGAAATGGACTAATCTAATTCACAATATTCCTTATGGGAACAAATTTGTTCAGTACTGGCACCTGAACATACTTCTAGAATGAAATAATATCGTAAACCGGGGATCCACTGTATATGCTCAAAAACTCTAGTGGCTTCAAATCAGGCAGGAGAAAGCTGGTAGGCCCATATGTGAAAGAATGGGTCTGTGGTCAGTGTGCACCATATAAAAAAAATCCTGCAGCACACAGTGCATAGTGAGAAAAAAAAAAACTCCGACCGTGTTTTTGGACTAAAACGCCGACTTTGCGGTGTATTTTCGTATAGTATTTATGGTTGTATTATCGTTTTCGTGGTCTCATTTGATAGAATCGAAAACATATTATAGAAATAGAGGTGATTTTGATTGGTTTTACTATGAAAAGAACCTTGAAATGGAGCTCAAAGTCGGGGAAATGTTGATTTTTGCCAATGTTCATAAGTAAACAAATGATATCATTGTCCAATAAATGTCCAAGTAGCCACTCTAATATGCAGTCATGAATGGGTTTGCATTATTTATACAATTATTACAATATTGCAGTAGTCTACATAACAGTAAATCTTCTGTTTTTTGTTCAAATAAAAATTCAAAACAGAAAGCAAGAGTAATATCAGAGGGGCCTGGAGACTTGACTGATAAACAAAGAAAATGTTATTTTAGAGCCAGGAATGTCTGCATTGTTCATTCTGAACCCTATTTTGAAATTGGCATATTCTTTAATTTGCGTGAAATTGGCCAAATTGCAAATTTCTGACCACGTTATTGGGTAGTTGAAATTGGTAAATAGGCAGTTTCTTGTACGCGGTCAATAGAACAAAAAGAGTTCTAAAGATATAGTTATGAGTTTGGGTGACTGGAACAATGGATTATTAGCCGAAAATAGGGCTCAAAGTGGGCAAAATCGCCAATTCGTAAATATCGCCGAGGTTGCTAACTTTGCGAGAGTGTAATTCCGTAAATTTTGCTCTTTTGGTGTCATTACCATCGGGAAAAGATTCTCTATCACTTCATAATTTTTTTTTTTTTTCTTTCAAAAAATTTTCGACACCAGGAGGCACTTCAAGATTTGGGGTTGCGACAGTCAAGGGGTTAAGGGATATGGAGCATGTAGAGACAAGCAAGTTAAAGGACTGTAGAAAGGTACTTAGCTTGAATGACGGCTCAACATTCCGCAGCAGCCTCTGGTCATTTTCCACGAGCTGTTGATGCTACCACCTTTGGGCTGTGGGAAATCAAGTAATCTTGAATATATAATTGCCCTAAAGGAGCATATGTTTCATATCAATTCACTGGTACAATGCTGATTAGATGATTACTTACTTTTTTTTGGGCTCAATGGCCATGAATAACAGGATATTTGGTAATCCAGACATGCTGTGCCCTGGCCATGTGCTCTAACAGCCGACCTAAATAGGCTCATAACTTGCTAGACTTACCTGGGTATATATATCAGACCTACAAGGTTTTCCCTGGCTTGTGGTAGGGAATTACCCCAATATCCGTTGTCTTGATCAAAGTAATAGTGTCTTACAATGCACTCACTCTCTCTGAAGATTGTTCGCAACACTGTTACACTACACTAAGATCAAGATTAGTCTTTGTTTCACGGTATTTCGCAGCAGGAAGACCTGTCCCACTTCACTGTATCATAGTTCTACTGCGAATTGTTGAGATTGTCAATTAACCCGTAAATGGTCCAAATGTATATATACGTTCTCTTGCGTAGTGCCCCAAATTTTTTGAGAAAAAAAATCTTTTTTTTTTTTTTTTTTTTTTTTTTTTAATAGGAAAAAGAGCATATGGTACCCAGGCATCCCCAATTATTTTAATATGGTGCACAGTGAGTGTGCACACCCATTCTCTCATGTCTAGGCGACTCAGGCTTATCATGGCAATGTTGAATGTATGACAAAACGTATAGTATATACGTTTGGGGCACTAGCGGTAAAAACGTATATATACGTTTGGACCATTTAGGGGTTAAAAGGTCGAGAATGCACTGCACTATAGTTCCTTTGTTATGGTCAATGCTCGCTCAAACACATGCTTCCCGTATGTCCCTGGAAACCAATCTCGCCTCATCCCTGCACTTTGGCCCTAAATCGCTGACTTCAGCATATTTCCTTTCTTACTTGACTTCATCACAATGTTCAATACAAGTGATAGATTTTCTGGTATCTGCTCATCAACAACAGTTCATTATTGCCCCACATAGCAGTTAAAGTGATGCAGGGTTTTCCTGTACTTTTCCTGCCAAATTGAAGAGAGTCCCTTTTCTCATTTCACTGTCAATCGTATTTTAATGAACACGGTGGTGCAAAAGGAGGCGGCATGACTATGCTCTGCTACACGTTAGTAATGCATTTGCTTCATATTAAATTGTTGATGAAAAGCAGGATGCCATTTGCCCTTTCTGAGAGGGTTGAGTCCCTCAGGGGGCTGAAAGGGGCTGAAAGGGCTGATACCCCTCTCCCTTCTGGAGAAGTTTTCTCCACACTGGGGGGCAGGCGAAAGTTTGCCTCGGGTGACCTATTCATCTCTTAACATTAATTTGATTTTCTCACTCACCACCACTGCTGATTGTCTTTTCTGAACAGCTTTAATCTATGGGGTTTCTGGAGAATCACTACTTTTGTTTTCAGCACTGTGTAATTCTAACAGCTCTAGTTTATCTGTTGTCCACTTATTCACTACACCCTTGCTCAAAACATCAGCAGTCCTGACGGTTCCATTTGCATCAGGATATATGGTCACTATTTTTGCAAGAGACCATTGGGACCTCGGACCATCATTGTCAATAATCACTATGTCACCAGGTCTTAAGGACCTGATGTTTTTTGCTTAAGGTGAGTTAGTCTTCTCACCAAATTTTCTTCCAATGTTCAGTCACTTTATTAAGGTGTTTAAATTTACATCTGAACTGCTCAGATTCAAAATAAGTAGGATTCTCTATGATTTCTTTATCATTCATAGGAGGAACAGGTTCGAGCCTTGTGCTGTGGAGTAAATGAGATGGACCTAACACTTCTAAATTGTCCAGATCGTTGGTAACATTAGTTAGAGGTCTGTTGTTGACTCTATTTTCTATTTCAATCATGACTGTGTGAAATCTTCTAAGTTGTTTAAAAACCAATGATGAAGATCTTCCTTAAACAATGTTTTAATGATGCCTATCATTCTTTCATAAAATCCACTTTGCCATGGAGCTTTGGGAGGAATGTGTCTCCAACGACAACTTACGTTGATTCAGTATCTGTTGTCCCCTGGCTGATCAAAAACCTTGCTTATATATGCAGCACCAGCAACAAAGTTCATTGCATTTCAAAAATTTTATCAGTCTGGGACACGCTTTTTTCCGGCTGCAAACCTATTGAATAGTTTGATAAAGGTTTCGGGGAGACATGTCAGTGGCTACTTCTAGATGTACTGCTCTAGTCGTAGCACAAGTGAACAAACAGATGTACACCTTGAGGGGAACTTTGTCAACTACTTTAGTCAAAATTATTGGTCCAGTGTAATCTACACCTATCACCTCAAATGGAGTAACATGACATACTCGTTCAGAGGAATATGGAGGTGGACCTGGATACTGACATACTCACATATCGTAGTGACGACAAGTAATGCAATCGCCTTATTTGTTTTTTCACACTTTGTCGACCTTGAAGTATCCGGTAGGATTGTCTTATGTGACAGTGTGTGTCGGCTACCCCACCATTTAACACATTACTGTGGGCATTTTTAACAGTTTTTTTTAGCCAATGATTCTTGGGGCTCAATATTTGGGTGTATTGCTTCTTTTAGGTAGTGAAGAATTATGAATTCCTCCCGATATCTTGTAAATCTTTTCTGAGTAGAGATAAAGTTCTAAAGAATGAATCATATTAAGAGCATAAGAACATGAGAATGAAGGAACACTGCAACAGGCCTACTGACAAATGCAGAGCAGGTCCATGCCCCCCATCCTCCCCGGAATAACCCAATACTCCCCCTTCCCCCGGATTAGCCCAATGACCCACCCAGTCTGGTCACCACTCAAGGAAGGAGCACGGCACCAGACCCAGCAGCACAAGCTAGTCAGGTCCAACTCACACTCACCCACACCCACCATGAATTTACTAACCTATTTTTAAAACTACACAACGTTTTAGCCTGAATAACTGTACTCGGGAGTTTGTTCCACTCATCCACAACTCTATTACCAAACCAGTGCTTTCCTATATCCTTCCTGATTCTGAATTTTTTCGAACTTGAAACCATTGTTGCAAGCCCTGTCTTGGCTGGAAATTTTCAGCACGCTATTTACATCCCCTTTATTTATTCCTGTTTTCCATTTATACACCTCGATCATACCCCCCCTAATTCTACGCCTTTTGAGAGAATGCAGATTCGGGGCCCTCAGTCTATCCTCATGGGGAAGATTTCTGAACATGGGATCATCTTTTGTCATCCCCTCTGTACGTTTTCCAGAGCATTTATGTCCACCTGTAATAGGGTGACCAGAACTGAGCACCCATAGTCTAAATGAGGCCTAACCAAGGATATATAGAGTTGAAGAACAACCTGAGGACTTCTATATTTATACTTCTAGATATGAAGCCAAGAATTCTGTTAGCTTTATTTCGAACACCCAATGCGCTGTTGTCTTGGTTTTAGATAACTGCTAACCAAACTCCTAAATCCTTTTTGCAATCGGTAGTATTAAAAAT